GCATAGTTGAGGGGAAGGAGGAGAGCACTTGGCACTGAAAGGACGGCCATGCACTTGTCTCTCATGAGTTGCAGGTGGCAGACATTTACCATTAGATGACCTGCAGATTTGCCACGTATTCCATAAAAAATACTTTCTACAAAACAAGTATTAATAAAACACAAGATCTTAAATAAATACCTCTCATTAAATACGGCTCAATAACCAAGCTGTACGCAATTGAAATTAATAATTTACTCATTGTTAATTTCTAAAGTCAATTTCCATACATTTACCAGTATTTATGTAAGATAAGATTCTCTTAATTCGTGATTAATTGAAAACTATCTATTTCAATCAATTAACTGTTTAATTAACGCTAGTAATGGAATACGGAGTATCGGATTTTACTTTATAGACTTCATATTGGAAACTTACTATTTTGTTTAGGAACGAAGAACAGTAAATCTTAACAAGCCGCAAACCAAAACATGTTGGCTTTATTAACTTACTTTGTTACTTATATTCTTTAAACTGTGTATGAAAATATTTCATGATTATTTGTGTGTTTTCATCATCATCATCATCAAGTTTAAAATTACCGTAGATATATTCCTCGTCATTTCTGCCACTAATTTGAAGGGAGAGTCCAATCCCTTTTAAGTGCTATATCTTGTTAAAAGTTTTAGTTGGGTGGTAGGATTTCTATCACTAAGTTGTTTAGATGATTTTTCCTTATAGCTCCAAACATCGTTTGCTCTTGTTCGTTGCTTGTTTAGATCGAAGGTTTTTTAGATAATGATGTGCATCAGCTGGAAGGCTATGACCTCTTCAAACGTATTCGCAAATGATAATGGGAATCCTAGCTTGATAGCCTTTCAAAAAAAATTTTGTAACACCTAAGCCCATTGCTGTATAATTTCAGTCAGGGTCATATGAAAAAAAGCGAGTAAAGTTTTCTATAAGAGGTGAATCAGGTAACATTGGGACTAATCCCACCCACACGCCCACCACTGTAACTCCTGTACACCAGGATCCACAGCAGTGACCCACGAACACACCGAGTTATGACACTCGGGAAGTCCCAGGAAGAAATTAAACTGTCTTGGAACCCGCAACGAAATTAATCAGAAGAAAATTGGAGGAGTTGGAAATACAGTAAATCCACTTCCCTCCTTAGCAAAGCGGGAGACAAAATGAAGTAAAATGGGCATACACCCTTTTAAACAGGGAAGCACCACGGCCACAAATATTACGGGTCCTACGTGAGCTATGTTTGATTTCTATAATATCTATGGCAGAATCGCCTAAACGCACGGAAATTCACCCTAGTTGACACAAGATCCCCATAGTATACCGCCCCAGATGTCACCTGCAAGCTATTCAGCATTATATTACGTTCATTATACCAAAGACTACATTCCCAGAGGATATGATGAGCAGACTGTTCATAGTGAGAGTTAGGTGTTGAGCATTGACACAATGGTGACTCGACTAATTTAAATGAATAAAGCTTGCTCTTAAAGTTACCATGACCCGTAAGAAATTGAGCGACACAGTGATCTACCTCAAGCCATATCCTCGACAACCGTTCGCGAACAGATGGAAAGAATTGGTAAAGATGGCGCCCCTTGGATGATTCATCCCAGCGTTGTTGCCATTCGTCTATGAGGTCATTATAGACATCGGGCTGCTGTTGAAGCAATCTTGTAATTTTACCGCGATCCCGCGCGCCCAAAAAATCGCATTCCATGTTTTGTTGTCTTGAATAGTACATGGCTGCACGTCTCTGCACCTCGAGATCGACCGGAAGGACACCCGCCAACACCGGCAAAGCCTCAGTGCTAACCGTCCTATATGCCTTACACAAGAATATCAGTGCAAGTCGTTGGCCTTGTAACAGTTTGCGACGGACAGCGCCTACGGTCGCCCTATCGGCCCATACAGGTGCACCATAGCACATAGAACCTAAATAAGTAGCTCCGTATATGATCTTTAATGTATTAAATGATAGACCCCATGTCGCAGTTGATATCCTTGTCAATGCACAGAAACTCTTTTTAGACTTTTCATTAACTATTTTAATATGTTCGATAAATGAAAAGTTTCTTTCTAAAACTAATCCTAGATAACTGTAGTTTTATTTTTTACAGTAACATTGTCAAATCTAATGCTCGGCGGTGATTTGAGGTTACCTTTTAAAAGTAGCTGGAAGGTTTTGTTGGGTGCAAAAGTTAAGCGATTACGTTCACCCCATTGAGATATCAAGTTCAAACATCTATTGGCTAATCTCTCAAGCCCCGCCCTAGTATCAGATTCCACCAGTAATAAGCCGTCATCAGCATACGCGTTCAGAGTACATCCGGATGGTATTGGTATCGCAAGAAAATCGTCGAAGCCGATATTCCACAAGTATGGACCTAGCACCGATCCCTGAGGACATCCCATTGTAAGCGCCTTCGACACAGAATGATGACCAAGTCTTAGTTTAGTTGTACCTTGTGAAAAGTACGAAGAGATAAGGGAATAAATATTTTTAAAGCACCCCCGTGATTTTAATTTTAGCAACAGCATGGGCCACCATGCGTTGTCGAAGGCGCCAGATATATCTAAGAAAATAGCCAGCACGTATTGAAATTTTGACTCTGTGACAAACTTTCTAACCGATATAACAGCGTCAGTTGTCGATTTACCCAACGTAAATCCAAATTGTCTATCATGAAATTTGACTCCACCTGGCAGAAGCCGGGGCACTACAAGACGTTCTAAAAGCTTTCCTAACGATGGTAATAATGTGATTGAACGGTAGGATTTAGGATCATCCTGTGGCTTGTCGCCACTTTTTGGTATTATACGAATATTACCGCACCGCCATATACGAGGAAATATTCCTTCAGCAATGCAACGTTTAAAGACAGTGAAAATCGTGTCACCCGAAAGTTTACAAGCTTCTTTTATCATTTTGTTAGATATTTTATCATCGCCCGAAGCCTTGTTTAGCGGCAAGGATCTAATGATACCGAGAAATTCGTCTGAAGATGGTAAATCAGACATTGGAGACAGTGGTGGTTCGATGGCCCACTGCCTGATCTGTCGGTGATGATCAGTGTCGTTTTCCGGTCGATCGTCAGGTACGAGTGAGTCTAAAAGATATTCTGCTGTTTGTTCTACTCCTGTGGTATATCTGTTATTAATTTTGATGTTCTGTATGTATGCAAGGTCGATTGATCTATTTGCCTTAAATTCGTGATACAAAGGTGACCACGGGCCCTCTCTATCGAGTTTATCAACAAGTTTCTGAATTAAGTTTCCCTTGGATTTTTCCACAGCAGCTCTGTAGTGGGACCTGGCAACTCTAAGAGCAATGAGAGCATTGTTGTACAAATCTCCTGTTACGTTATGTTTTTTAATAGTGTTTAATTTTCTACGAGCTTTCCGGTAGCTTCTACGTAGTTCGGCTAATCTATCATTCCACCAATCACATCTACGAGTGTTAGTGATAGATCCGCGACCAATAGTTACATCAGCGCAGTATGTAAAAGTTTCTGATAATATTTCATCATCAATAATCAGGTAACATATCACTTTTTGTAGTTGTAGTCGAAAGGAAAATAAAGTCTGCAGTAAAGGCCATAAACGCACTTGACTTACAAGTGTCATGGGTCCCTACCTCTTACAATTAGGTGACCTATATGCTATTTCCCCCTTTTCCATAAAAAGATAACCTTCGTTGCGCAACAGGGACTTAACCATATAGCACGTTCGATAAGTATTAACCAAAAAAAAATCAAAGAAAATATTGCGAATACTCGATTTTCGTGTCAATCATTCACATTGTGTCTATTGTTATTAAATACTGATTTAGCTCTTAAGGGCTGTAACATAAATATTTATTTCTTCTTATTCTCTCATTCACAGACTTAATGTTCAAAAGTAGGGGAGTGACTGCTTAACTTACAAAGTAATATTATTGAAACGTGATGCCAAAAAGTGGAAGGTACTTTCTTTGTAACCGTATGCGACGTAAACTTTCTTGATGTCTCCTTGAATACTATTTTCAGAGTGTTTTTTATCGCTTTGATGTCTATTATGTGTTTTTCTATATAAAATATCACATTTCTGAACTGAACTGAACATTAACTTACCTCGTACATTAAACACTCTGAGTTTAGGTGATTAACTAAAACATTTTTCTTAAAAATCTTTAAACGGTAAGTATTAACTATTTTTAATGGTATCTTTGATCTAAAAATTATTTAAAAATGGAAATGTTTTTGTCTTAACACTATACTGGTTGACAACAATTTACTATTCTAAATTGAAAATTTTGTAAAATGTATATTTTATACTGTTTATAATATTTTTGTGATTCAAATTGAAAATCCGAAAGAAAATATTTTGTTAAGTACAAGTTTTTGGTCTATTTTTACATATTATATAAATAATATGACAAGTATCTAAGTAACGAGTAAAAAGTTCATAATCTTGTACAAAGATGTATGAAGTTGTGGTGAGTCTAATCACCAGAAGAAATACCTACATACATCTTTATGTCACGTAAAGTAGACTGGGGAAGTACAAGCTACTCCTCTGTCAAAGCCAGTCAGTTGGTTTAATCAACTTTTGTATGGCATTCAATCTTTAACAGATGCCTTACCTCCACAATAAGTTGCATTTAGAATTCCTTTCAGATCAGGTTCAATATCCAGGTATATCGTATATCACGTTTCCTGAAATATAGTAAACAACCAAAACGGATCCTTTTTTTTGTGAAAGCGGCAGACTCCATAAACAACCTTGGAAGTCTTATTGATTTAGATTTGTTTAATTTAAATCCATTTTGTTACATTCTTTCTCTATCCGACCAAAGATTCGAATCCTTTCTCAAACTGTCTTTGTTTCCTTTTTAATTCTTTTTTTTTTAAGTTTATTATGTTTAATACAATCAACCACTAAATATGTAAATGCGCTGAATAGATATAAGATACTGTTTGTTTGCCAAGTAAAATAAAAAAAATAATATGTATCTTTTCTTAGAATATTACCTGAGATTGGATGAAAAAGCCTTGCGGCCATCTTTGCGTCATCATATTGCACACTTTTGTCCCAACTTAGACATAGCAAGAAAATGTATAAGAAAATGTATGGAACGTGGCAAACCAGCGTTCTGCGGTAAAGATCACGTTTGCTACTGCGGTCATAAGTACGACTCGTATCACCAAGATGTTCCAGTCAATGTCAACGACACATACGCAGCATTTCAAGATTTGTATGAAAAATATTTTGGTCCGCGAATTGACCCGGAAAGTAGTACCACTACGACTGATAAAAATAAAACTTTATTGAACACCAGTAAGACCGCCACTACTATTGATAGCAACGAAAGTGGGTCTAAAGAAAGTGGGTCAAAGGAAAGTGGGTCCAAGGAAATTGAGTCCAAGGAAAGTGGGTCCAAGGAAAGTGGGTCTAAGGAAACGGAGTCTAAGGAACCTGAGTCTAAGGAAACTCATTCTAATGAAACTGGGTCTAAGGAAACTGATTCTAAGGAAACTGGGTCTAAGGAAACTGGGTCTAAGGAAACTGGGTCTAAGGAAACTGGGTCTAAGGAAACTGCGACTACTACGGAAAATGCAGCTATCGAAAGTGAGACTACGAGTACAACGAGTGCGCCACCGTAAGCTAATGCAGTGAGATAATTTTATTATTTGCTTTGTAAATGGGTGCAATTCTTGCATAATAAATATGTATTTAGAAATAAATAGGGATGTTTATGAGCAGTCTGGTTACCATATACTAAATATAATCCGGAATATAAAACACACCTGTACTCAGAATATTTTCTCTCTCAATCATACAGACAGTCTCTTATTGGGGATTATTTTAACCCATGCGTCATGCGAGCAAATAAACATAGCAGAACTAATGCATAATTGCAAGCCCGACGTTAGCCTTTATGTATTATACAACAATAAATCAGCTATTCATGATACTAATTAAATTAGCATGCAAAACTCTTGCCTACTGTTAAACATTATTATTGAGTACCTATTGTTGGTGGAAAATATTGAACTTGTCCATAATTCTCTAGAACTATTTGCAGATGGGCGATTAATTAAAAAAAAAAGTTTATATAAGTAAACTGAGACACATAATAAAGATAATGATAATCAATACTTATATTATAAATGTTAAAGTGAGTTTGTCTGTTACGGTTTCTCACCTAAACCACAAAACCGATTTTAAATTGTTTTTCATCAATGGAAAGCTACATTATCAGCGATTAACATAGGCTACTTTGTACCGCGTTAACCGACACACACATGGGCGGAGCCGGGGGCAAAAGCTGGTATAGTATAATCCGAAGCATTCGCCCATTTTTATTTCAACTATTCCAATACGCGTCAGCCATTTGCTGCACAGCCTCCTTCCACAACCCGATAGTGCATCTTCTGGCAATAAAAACGATATCTCTTAGAGTTGATTTTTAATTGAAGTTAGTTGAATTACACTCTGCTAAATTCAGGCCGTAACTAGGACTCAAAATAACTGGTGTGTTATCCAAGATCTTGCTCATTATAAATATAAAGTGCGCGGAATTGTTTTAGTGGTGAAGCACTGACCCCGGTATTATGTATTCAGGTCCCTTGCTGCTAATAACAGGACACACTTCTAATTATTCTAATATTCTACACAGTGAAAATATTAGCGACTAAAATATTAAAAAGGCTTTTTTATATCTCCACTTTGATAAAGTTTAACTTATTTTTAAACAAATTTCGTATTGATAAATACGAGATCTTCATCTTTTTTTTTTCTTCCTCAAAATAACTCCCGCATTAGGAATACATCCTGTGTCTCGGAGGACTTTACAAGCATACATGAAACGGACACAAAGAACACCCAGACTCAGAACGACAATTTGTGGATCACACAAAGTGTCGTCCCATGTGAGGATCGGACCCACAACACTCAGCGTAGTAGTAAGCGGCGTGGCGACCGCTTAAACCACTACGCCATCCGTGCAGTCATGTTGTGAACACAACGAAACAAGGCTGCACGAAACTCAGTTAGTGTACAATTTATCCATTTGCCTTTCATATTATAGCCCGACAGGCTATAATATGAGGTATAATTGAGCATTGGTGAGGTGCAGATATGGTACACAGAGCGAATCTCGTGCGAAGATGTTCATGTAATATCTTGTGAACGTGTTCTGAATTAATCATAATGAACTGAAACTCTTTAAACGGAATTAAATAATAATAATTCTCTTCATTTTTCTTCCCCGGTACCCGTGACCTATTTCTTAGCATGACATGGATTCACCGTGCGGGTGTCGGGTCCTACGAGTGATAGATGGGGGCAACACTTGCGACTTCCACAGCGCCTGGGAATTGCGACCCAGGAACAGTACTCCTTGCGACGCGTCACCGCTTACCTCCACCGTCCAATGTGTCACCCCCTCTACTTAACCATATTTAATATGAGCCTAGCAATGCTGCTTTGGATATTTGTTCAAGAAAATAGCTTACTGAAGCTCTTGGCAATTAAATATCTTTAAGCAAGTTATAAAGGCAAACAACGCAACGAAATAACCATTTTTGGTTATTTCGTTGGTTAAGTCAAAGTACTTGTTTCTTTTTAAGCATGGTCTTTAGGGATGTTCGTTTCCCATAGTACCGTGAGTTCTACTAGTACTACACGCTTAATTGACATTGCGTAAAGAACTATGTCTCGTCTGCACGTCGAAGCATATGTTTCCTCCGATATTCTGTAATGATTTTCATACGATGATTGTGAGTGAAGTATTTTTTTTTAGCCTTCTTTTACAAACTCGATGTTAGTTCTTATGTTTGTTGTCATTCCTTTTTTCGCTCTCGTGAGTGATAAACTTATAGCTTCGCGTATGATTTGTAATACCGCCTTACAACCTGTCAGTAAGTGCCTGTACCTGTTAGTTCGACACGGACATTGCATTTAAGGTTTTTGTTATACATTCTATGAGGAAAACGAGTAGTTTTGGTGTCTCAAGAGTAAAATAATAACACCTCTATTAGAAAAATGTATAGAAAGGTAAAAAAAAATGCTTAACTTTGAAAGTCCTTCAAGATTGTAATGAAAATACCTCGGAACTAGGTATCTTTATCTTAATAAAGTATGAAAAAAATAATTTAGTTGCAACTTTTGGAATTTATATTGCATTTAAAAAAAATGTGTTTCCTGCCAGCGTTCCATACATAACTCTCTTAATAGCTCCTTTATAGTAAGACATTACATATTTTAACACAAATTTAGGACAGAATGATCTACCTAAAATTGATAAAACGTTACAAATGTCCAAACAATGATTGGCTGCCTACATACTGGCTTAATCATTGTTTGGCCATTTGAAACGTTTCAATTAATAGTTTTCCTTTCTACAATGTTTTCTCGATGCCGTCAATCGATTAAAGGTACAAAAAAACTCGGATACAATGAAAGAATTGAGACCGCCTTACCTTAGATAACACGTAGCATAGTGTGTACTTTTTTTGAGTAGGGTCACCGTAGTCCCTTCGACAAGTGTATGTTAGCAGTAACCTTTAACATTATGCTTTTCGTTTACAAAACATATTTTTTGTAGCTGGAAACATTAATTTACATTAATGTTTTACCTAATATAAGAAGCATTGAGTACTAACGTCAAAAGATAATCAAAAAGACAAAGCAAAAATGTAAATTATATTACAGAAATGCGTGCTTATACATATTTTAGGAACATTATTTATAGTATAAGTTCGTATATTAGGCCAATGTGGGTGGTTAATCATAATTCAGTGTGCCACATACAGCGAATGTAAAAAAAAATCAGGACGTAAATATGTCCTAGAATACTTTACAAAAGTGTTTAGCAGAAAATACTCTTTAAAATCTGTTGTTTTCCTAATGAAACAATGTAATGTTTCTAGAAAGCTATCAAAAAACCTTTAAAAAATCATTTACATTATTTTAGTTCTTTTTTTTTAAACTTTATTTCTTATTTTATCTTTGCCTTGTATTTTTTTCATTTGAATATTATATTTTATTAGAGCAGAATCAATATCTAAATTCCAAATAATATTAAGTATACAACACAAAGGATGGAGGAAAAATACTACTGCCAGGTGGCCATGCTTGTCAGAAATTGCCATTATTGGTCGTTACGCGATGCAGTATCATAAATTATACAGTTCACCGCATCTTCGCTAGATGTTTGTTGTAATATGTTTAAGCTATACGTGAAATTATATGACTCGTAAATAAATTTTTATCATGTCAATACTTTAGTTACATTCTATATTGTTGTCAGTTACCACTGTTTATTTATCGTGTTATGATAAATGAAAAATAAAGTACCTATAGTCCATCTAATCCAAGAGGTACCATTTGACAGTTCTGACAAATTGATGAATAGGGAGAGGGTCAAAGAAATCGATATGTAGTTATAGATATATCCGATTCTTAAGAGATTTCGATATCATTTCTTTGTATTTACAAATCGATTACAGTTTTATAGATTTATGTTTGTTTTTATATCTTAGGTTTACTATTTATACATCAATGTGTGTAAGTAAATGACAGAATGTTATAAGAGAGAGAATTTTTCGGGCTTTTCAGTCCTTTTTTTTTTTTTTTTTTTTTAACGTGTGGAAATCCCCTCGGACCGTCACCCCACCGGGGTTTGCGGCGGGGTGGTGTGTCGGACTCGGACCGACTAAAACCACACGGTGTGCCACTTTGCGCCTGTAACAGGAGGGATCCGGGAACAGCTGTTGTTAAGACATCCGGACCCCTCCTAGCGCCAGCCCGCTCCTGGTGCGGGCTCCGTCTCAATATTTTTTCCTCTCTTTAGGCGACGTCCGGCACACGCGGACGCCGCCAAGGGCTTTTCAGTCCTAACCTAACCTGATTTTGCATATAAAGAATTATTTGAAAGTATATTAACTTACATGTTTTTAATTTTAAATATACTTTTTCATTAACAGTTGGATTTCAGCTGAAATCTAAGTATGATTAAATTCAAATAACTTTGCAACAGCAAAGTTCGCGAGTAGCGCAGCAAAATGCAATTTCAGGTATCAGCAGGGTAAGTATGTATAAAAATGAACATCTATAAAACCAATTGAACACACTTAAGTGAAGACAAATAAAGAGCACTAGGTATAGTTAACGGCAATAGCTAATTTTATTGTAGTCTAATACAATAATAATTTAACAAAAACAGTTCCAAGCAATTTTCGTTTTTTTTGGCATCTCTAAATGACGCTGACTATTCATATATAAAAAAGAAATTAGACATTGAAGATGTTCATTAGGTTAAAAATTTCTTTCAGCTCTCTTCTTAAGTACTTATCATATATGTATAAGTGATAAAAAATTGATGCAAACAATTTTCTACTTTATAAATTTTAACAACGTCCAATTCCTTTTTTAATATTCGTGATCATCGTCATTTATATGGGGTCTACCAATAAGTCCTGGTTTAAAAATTGAATAACACACACAATTTTTTATGAAAAATGCATCCGATTGATTTATTTTATAGATAATTTTATGCAATTTATGTTTTAAATAATATATCGGCCAAATGCCGCCGCTGCTCTTTTTGCAGATGGTCACCCGCTCACGCTAATTTTCGATGAAGCGGTGCACCATTTCG